TAAAAAATGGTTAAATTTGTGGATGTTAGATTGCTAACTAATTTAGTTGATTAAAGTATAAAAGTAGTGTTAATTTGGAATCAAATCCCGCCTACATTATTGTCTTTTATGTTCTTTATATTTACACAGTCACAAAAAAAAAAAAAAAAGGTTAAATTTAAAAACTTAAATTGGGCCTAGGACACTAAAACCGTTGATTTAAAAATTGGATAGTACCGTAACAAAAGAAACTCAAAACAAATAGCCCAACAATAAAACCCTAATTTCAAAAACCCCGCCCAAATCGCCGTATATATGATCTCTCCCTTCAAATTTCTAAAACCCTGCAAATTTCCGAGAGAACCAAACCCAGAAAACAAAACACAATCTAACAGAGACAAGCTCTCTATGAAAATGCCGGAAATCCGGCTTCACAGCGCAGTCAAGTACCCTCCGTACAATAATGTCGGCCTCTTTTTCCACGTAAAAAGAAGGGAGGGTAAAATCGTCCAATGCTTCATAATAAAGGGGTAAATCCATATAATTGGTATGTATTTTTTTTTTTTTAATTTTTCTGATTTTTGGGTTAGTGATGATGACGAGAAGGGGAAAGAGTCATATTCTCAAGTTGATTAGATTTTTTTTGGAATTGGTATGTTTTTTTATTTGTCTGATTTTTGATGAAATTTAATTTATCCTGTTTTATTGTGTAATATGTTCTTAAATTGATTAATCAATTCACTTGAAATTGCATTAACATTGGGTGTTACAGTTAAGTGTGTAAATTCTCCCATGCCATTTAGGTGTTGTTAGAGTCTTGGAGATGTTGATTGTACTACATTTTGATCAGTGTAATTTTGTAGTACATGGGTTGTATTTGTGAGAATAGAGCATGGAAGAGTTGATTAATGTTGGATTTTGTTGTAGTTAAGGATGATGGATTGATGGTAATGCAATTGAAGGGGATTCAGATATATGTGATGAAGTCGGGTAAATCAATTGGTGTTGTTTCGGGTGAAAACAATGGGACCTTGCCGAAGGTCCGATGAAGTGGTGAAAACTGGATTCGGTCCAAGTGATGTTGGGCCGAAGGTTTCCTTCACAGCAAACACACGTAAATTAGCCTCGGGGGTGTTGCCGAGGAAGGCCCCTCCGATGCTAAAGTCAGTACAGTGTGTAGAGAGATAAAGCTATGCAAGAGAATTAATTGCTTGAGGCTTTGTGTGAATGTCTGTACAAATGCAATATTGATGGCTTTTATACCTTTGCATATATGGAGAATGTGGGCTTTGGCCCAGTTGACTTGCCTTGTGGACTGGTCTTGACTTTAGCACAATTGGAGAGTTGAACCTTGACCTTGGGCTTTTAATTGGATCATTTAATGTCTAGGCCCAATTGGACTAAATTGGACCCAAACAACTTGCCCCCCAGACTCGATTTGGAAGGATGACGGGTCGGGTTTGATTAATCAGAAAAGGAGGGAAGCAAATGATTTAATTAATCCAAAAAATTTGAATTTAAACCGTAATTAATGAAATAACGACGGTTGGGCAAATAATTGTGGAAATTGGACGGATAATGGGCGGTTTAATCATGAGATCGTGTGTTTAACGGTTACTTAGTGGGGTGTTTAAGAGAAATTGAAGCGCGGACTCCCTATAATTAGAGGCGCGTCATCTCTCCTCACTTCTTCACCGACACAAACCCAGAATTCTCGAGAAAACCCAAGAACCCGCGTCAAAACTTCGCAAATTCCCCGAGTATTAAGCTTAGAAACTGAAATTCGCTGCTACCAACTTGTAAATCGGCAACTTCCGCTTCAAATTGAGGTAATTTCCTTTGATTTTAGCTTATTTTTCTTCGAATTTGAACTCTTTCCCCTTTTTTCGACTTTTTCTTCGAAACTTACCCATGGTGAGAGGAGTTAGAGGTAGGGCCCGTGCTCCAAGAAGAGCAAGGCCGATTCTCGATCCTAGGAACAGGACTAGGACCTGGAATGGACAGAGAGCAGAGTCTGACCCTGCTGAAGGGATTAGGGCGACTCCCATTTCTTCGGCTCCTCCTCAGGGAACGGAGGGGCCGAGCGTTTCTGGGCGGGACGATGAAGTTCCCGCCATCCTTTGGGATATCCTCCCTGGATTTTCGGAGTGGGAGGATACTGAAGTAGCTTCGGCCATGATAAAGAACCGCCCTATCTTGGTGGGTAGAGAATGCTGAACAGTATCGGTTTGCCGAGCAGATTGAGTTGCATTACGGCATCCTCGAAGCTGACGGGTATTGGTGCCGAATGCCTGTGGCATCCGATAGAATTCATCGTCCACCCCCGGGGTATGTGGGGGTGTACACAAGACAACTTCAGTATGGGCTGAGGTTCCCTTTGGACGTATTCGTCCGAGACTTGCTGATCCATTATAATATTTCCCTATGTCAGCTAACTCCCATTAGCATCCGAAGGGTAATGACATACTTATGGGTCTGCAAGTTCTTCAGGTATGTGCAGAACCTGCACTGCTTCAAAAAGCCCCATCGGCTAGTGCCAAATATTCAAAGTGGGCACGGAAATCACGGTTCTGGGTGGTACCGGATTGAGTCTCGGCCCCAGTACCTAACCATGTGGCCGAACGACTCTTCAGACAAGGACTGGAGAGGTCAATAGATTTGGGTTAGGGCGCCCAAGGACCCGGACCACCCTTGTGTCTTCAGCGCTCCCAGGTATCATGCCGAGCCTGATCCCAACATGGGAAGCTTAGGTCCCCCCGAAGATAACGACCCAGATCCGAACCTTAATCAACAGAACATCTTCGGCAAGCTGCCGAACCAGGGGGGCAGCGGACGAATGCAGCGTATCCCGGAGACTTGGCTCCCCGATACGCACTATGTCTTCCAAGAGAACGTGCTAGCAGCTGTCGGCCTCAGCCGAAAGTTTAGGGATGGTAAGCTTCTTCGGCTGGGGCCAAGGCCTTTTAATTATCTCTTTTTCTCCATTTTCACTTCGCACTTCTCTGCTGTGCCAACCCAGCTGAACTGATCTTTTTCCTCCTTTTTTTCAGAGCGGGACGAGACCAACGTCGGCATTAACTACGATCGTCTCGGCGTCAACCGAGAACGAGTTGTAACTGACCGGGCCCCTTCTATCACTGAATCGAAGCATAGGGAAGTCCATCTAGACTCTTCCCATTTCCAAATTGAGGCTGTTGCTCTATATCAGAGGCAGAAGCCTTGGTGGAAGAAGAGGGATCCCTGGTTTCGGCTGTTAGACGAAGAAGCTGAAGCTGCCCGTACGGCCGAAGAGGTTGCACGGGTTATTGAAGCTTGTGAAGGAGGAGAAGGGTCCTCCAGGGCTGCTGAAGAAGAAGTTGCAGCTAGGGCAGCTGAAGAAGACGAGGCTTTGCTGAAGACCTCGGTGAGCTTTTTGGACTTAGCTTTTCAGCTTTGTTGTTGCTTGTTTTTTTTTTTTTTTTTTTATTCATATTCTTCATCCCCCCTGTCTTTTACAGTCTGAAGAGAGTAATAGACAGAGAGAAGGGAAAGCCCCTGTTCGTCCCGAAGATCAGGTACAAGAAGAGTCTGAAGAGTCAGACATGGACGAGCAGCCTCTTCAGAAAAGGCGACTAAGAATGGCCATCATCGGCCCGCATGACTTTCAGAGGAGGCCGATGACTATCGGCATCGAGATAAGAGAACCTGAGGAAGGCGGTGGATCGCCGAGGGTCCCTCAGCCACCACATCAATCACCGCCGAAGACCCCTCCGCCGCCTCCCGAGATGAAGGTGGATCAGAAAACTCCCAAACCTAAGGGAGGGGTCCAAGAGGAGGTTCAAGAGAGTGCTGTTGAGCACAGAACTGAGGATGCTGTGATGCCCAATGCTGAGGGTTTCACAGCTGACATTGCAAGAGAGGTTGATGCTTTCGTCCTCACACCTGAAGAAGAAGCAGAAGTCATAATAATTGACTCTGCTGAGAAGAAGGAGGATGCCGAGCCATCTAAGACTCAAGAAGCTCCATCGTCATCCTTCCCTTCCTTCCAGACGCTGCAGTCTAGAGAAATGGGTTTCTCGGCCCCCCCGAATGCCAATTCCAGATCACATCTAGGACTTCATATGGGGCCAAAACTGAGAAGGTGCTGCAGCCTACTTCGGCGATTTTGCTGGCATGTCCGAAGTAGATAGGGCAAGGATCTGGTCGCTGAAGGTCACTGCTAGGATGGGCGAATCCAGCAGATTAGTTCCAGACCCAGCCAGGTCTAACCAACTGCTGATGATGCAGGTGAATCTCCTTCCTTGCTTTTATCTCTTCAGTTTAGCTCTTCAGTTCATTTTTTTTTTACTCACACTTTACTGCCCCCCCTTTCTGCAGTCTGAGGAAGGGAGCGAAAGAAGAGAAGGAAAGACACCTGCTCGTTCTGAGGATCCATCTTCGTCAGAATCTGAAGAAATAGACGAGCAACCCTTAGCAAAGAGGAGGAGGAGGTTAGCCTTGCTGGGGCCTCGTCAGTTTCAGACGGGGATGAGGCCTACCGGGGGCATCCTCATACGGGAGCCTGATGAAGGTAGACGCTCGCCGAGGGCTCCCCCTCCGTCGGAAGCTCCGCGTCCTCAAACCCCCCCTCCACCTCCCGAAACTCAAGAGATGGAGGTGGACCAAAGAACTCCTGATCCGAAGGGGGGGTTCAGGGACGCTCTGCTGAAGAATCTGAGAAGCCGATTGCTGAAGGCTTCTTAGATGATATTGATAGGGAGGTTGACGCTTTTCTTCGTCAACCTGATCTGGGGGAGGAAGCAGAGAAGGTCGTTGCTGCTGACCCTGGTGGAGACCAACTAGGGTCCGCCGAAGGAGAAGGTCATGCTGAGCCTGAGAAGATTCAGGAAGTTCCCTCCTCTTCCTTCCCCTCATTCTAGACGCTGAGCTCTGGAGATTTGGGTTTCTCGGCCCCCCGCATCACAATCCCAGAACCTGTTTGGGAAAGAATTTGGCGCCAGAACCGTGAAGGGGTTGCAGGCTACTTCGGCGACTTAACTAGCATGTCCGAAGTGGACCGAGCAAAGGTGTGGTCGCTGAAGGTCACGGCTGGGATGGGAGAATCCAGCCGAAGGGTCCCTGACCCTGCAAGAGATAACCAGCGTTTGGTGATGCAGGTACTTAACCCTTTAGTTGCTTTGCTTTCATTCAGCTCTTCTTCTCCTTTCTGGCTCTTTCCTTTTTTATTACTTTACTTATTTCAACTTATGTGCCCCTGAAAACAGGTTGTGCACAATCAGACTCTTACTGTATAGTTGATTGACACCCTCCAAGACAAGCTGGAGCATGCCTGGGAGGATGCAAAGATTGCCCGGGAGGAGGCGAAGCTTGCTGAGCTGAAACAGCAGCAGAGCGAAGAATATGAAAAGAGGGTTGCTGAAGCCATTCAGACCTTCTGCTCGGCTATGGAGAAGGAAGTTTTTCCCCCGCTGATGGAAGGGGAGAAATTCCTTCAGGAGAAAATGGGAGTGGACATCTCCAAATTTAAAATTGCCATCGAGAGCCGAATTCAAGAAGGGGCTGCTGCACAAGCTGAAGTGCAGCAGAAGCTGGAAGCTCTTGAAGCCAGCAGGATGGCTGCTGAAGAGGCTCTACAGGCTAGGGATGTTCACCTTTCTGCTGCCCAAGCCGCTGCTGAGAGCCAGGACTAGAAGTTGAAGGAGTTGGAGGATCAGCTGAGAGTCAAGGGAGATGAGCTGACCCAGGCCAATACCGAAGCTTCCAACGTCCAGCTGGAGCTTAATGAGCAGAAGACTTCTTCCTCCAAACTCTCAGAAGAGTTGGAAAAATCTAAAAAGGATTTGGAGGAGAGTCAAAAGAAGTTAGCTGACGCTGAAGCCTTACTCCAAGTCCGCCTCTACACCCAAGAAGAGTATGAGATGGGCTACATAAATGGGTTTAAGGTGGCTCGGAGGTATGCTCTCCATGCTGAGCCTTCGCTGGATTGGTCCAAGTGTGCGCTTTGGGCTCAGGACCCCGAAGATCCGCACATGCTGTATGCCACTCCTACCGAGCATGAGATCCTTCAGGCTGAACAAGCCGAGGAGGAAGTTGAGCGGCAGGAGTTGGAGGCTGAACAGCGAGCTGCTGAAGCTCAGGCAAAGGCCTAACCTGCCTCCTCTGCTTCTAGAACTGAGACTGCCCCGGGGCTTGGCCCGACTGATCAGCCTGATCATCCAATTGAAGCATAGGAAATCGGGCAGTCGTCTTCAGAATCTTGCGGATCAACATGCGCTTAACTTCAGACTCGTCGCTTTCTGAATCTCTTTTTGCCTTATCTTTTTGCTTCAGCTTGCCTTGATGTACAAACAATTTATTTTTGTTTCTGTACGTATTTCGGCAGCTGTTATTTTCCGCTTGTGGGCAGCTGCCGATATAGTCTCTAATTTATTTGAACTTGTAGGTCACTTTCTGAGCATGAATCATTAATCTGATGTTCTTTTCTTCAACTGCTTTGTCTTATTTTGAATGCTTTGCTATTTCTGAACTTTGAAATTTTCGCAAGTGCAAAGCTTTCGGCTTGAAGAATTCTGCTGAACATAAACCTGCACTGATAGTGCCTCTTGCCCCCCTAAAAATCCGAAGGCTCAAGTCTTTGGATTGCTGAGTTGGGTTTTGTTTCTCTATCTTTTAAAAATGGGTATCCGAAACACAGGGCCAACTGAAGGCAATGCTTCGGATAATGGCTCTCTGGGATACAAGGCTCAGTTAAGGCAATATCCCAGAACTATCCATGGAATCATGTCTTTGGAGAACAAGTCTTACTGAAGTTTGACTTCAGCTGAAAGACCAGTGTTCTTTAAAAAGACGAGTTTGTCAGCAATCTGAAACCTAGTTACCCGGAGGCGAAGGTTTCAGACGAGGCTGAATAAAAAATTTCCAACAGTTGCTGTTATCCTTGATTTTCTGTCTATCTTTTAAAAATGGATATCCGAAACACAGGGCCAACTGAAGGCAATGCTTCGGATAATGGCTTTCTGGGATACAAGGCTCAGTTAAGGCAATATCCCAGAACTGTCCATGGACTCATGTCTTTGGAGAACGAGTCTTACTGAATTTTGACTTCAGCTGAAAGACTAGTGTTCTTTAAAAAGACGAGTTTGTCAGCAATCTGAAACCCAGTTACCCGGAGGCGAAGGTTTCAGACGAGGCTGAATAAAAATTTCCAACAGTTGCTGTTATCCTTGATTTTCTGTCTATCTTTTTAAAAATGGATATCCGAAACACAGGGCCAACTGAAGGCAATGCTTCGGATAATGGCTTTCTGGGATACAAGGCTCAGTTAAGGCAATATCCCAAAACTGTCCATGGACTCATGTCTTTGGAGAACAAGTCTTACTGAAGTTTGACTTCAGCTGAAAGACCAGTGTTCTTTAAAAAGACGAGTTTGTCAGCAATCTGAAACCCAGTTACCCGGAGGTGAAGGTTTCAGACGAGGCTGAATAAAAACCCTTAAAGAGTAGATAGAATAAAGAAAACTTTAAAAGAATAAAAAGTTGCAAATACTTATATAAATGGTGGCTCTAAGGCCTTTCATTAATTCAAAATGTACTTACAAAGATTGTTCTGCCCCGAAGGGTTTACACATGATATTTCTTCAGTACATCAGCATTCCAGTGATTTTTCAACTCAGTTCCGTCCAACTGCTGAAGTCGGTATGTCCCTGGCTGAAGCTCATCACAGATTTCGTAGGGTCCCTCCCATTCAGCTGAGAGTTTCCCATGGATTCGGCCTTTCTGAACCGCAACAGCATTCCGAAGGACAAGGTCTCCAATTTTGAGAGGTCTTGCATGGACCCTTCGGTTGTAAAATTTGCTGATTCTCTGCTTATAAGCGGTCATTCTGTCTCGGGCTGAGTCTCTTACTTCGTCGAGGAAATCGAGTGATTCCTTCATCAGTTGCTCATTCTCAGCCGAGAAATGGTGCACTCGTAAACTCTCAGAGCCGATTTCCCTTGGAAGAACGGCTTTGGCACCATACACCAGTTCAAAAGATGAATAGCCCGTTGCCTCTTTTTCAGTTGTCCGAAGGGACCAGAGGGTTCCTGGGAGCTCCTCCAACCACTTGGACTTTTGATCTTCCACCCTCTTTTTGAGGGCGTTCAGGATCTGTTTATTTGCAGCTTCGGCTTGTCCGTTACTTTGCGGGTGGCATACCGCTGAATATGCCAGTTTGATACCGAACTTATCGGTATACCGCTTCAGCGACAAGTTATCGAATTGCCTCCCATGATCGAAGAAAAATACTTTCGGGATGCCGAAACGAGTGATGATATTCTGCCAGATAAACTTTCTGACAGTTTGCTCTGTAATGTTCGAGGTTGCTTCGGCCTCGATCCATTTACTGAAATAATCGACACCGACTATCAGCCATTTTTTCTGGTATGTAGCATCTGGAAATGGTCCGAGTATATCCAGTCCCCATTGGGAAAACGGGAGCGGATTGAGGATCGGCTGAAGATCCATAGCTGGCTGATGGATAACTGGTGCGAATTTTTGACATTTTTCGCATTTCCGGACCAGCTCCTTAGCATCTGAGATCATGGTGGGCTAGTAATATCCGGCCCTCAATGCCTTGTGGGCTAAGGTCCTTCCCCCGATGTGGTTCCCGCAGATGCCGAGGTGAATCTCCCGAAGGATATAATCTGCATCTGTTGGTCCCACGCATTTCAGCAATGGGGCTGAGAAGGACTTTTTCAGAAGCTCCCCTCTGAAGACAATGAACCTTGAGCTGGTTCTCTTTAGCTTGGAGGCCAAAATTCTGTCTTTGGGAATTTCTCCCCGAAGCTTGAAAGCTAGGATGGGGTCCATCCAGCTGGGCTCTGGGTCAGCGCAACACACTTCAGGTGCTTCGTCGACACTTCTTTCTCGACGCACTTCCACATATACAGATCTGTTCAGCTCAATGAGAGTTGAACTGGCAAGTTTGGAGAGTGCATCGACTTGAGTATTCTGACCCCTTGGGATCAGCTGAACCTCAAAAGTTCTCAGCTTTGCAATGACTGATTTGATCTTGGCAAGATAGGCTATCATGGAGGGCTCTTTGGCCTCGTAGCTGCCACTGATCTGATATGCAACTAGCTGAGAGTTTGTTTTCAAGCAGACATGCTCGGCTTCCAGAGAGATGCACAATTCCAGGCCAGCAATTGCTGCCTCATATTCAGCTTCGTTGTTCGAAGCCTTAAAAGAAAATTTTAGTGCATACTCAAAGGATTTGCCTTCGGGAGAGGTTATCACTACCCCTGCCCCCGATCTATTTACGGTGGAGGATCCATCCGTAAACACGGTCCAGACTTTCCTTTCATTGTCCAGCGTCTCTTGGTATGAGCATTCGGCCAAGAAATCCGCTAGAGCTTGAGCCTTGATGGAAGCCCTTGGCTGGTAGCTGATGCTGAATTCGGTGAGCTCAAAAGCCCACTTGGCCAGCCTACCAGATTTTTCAACTTTGCCGAGAACTTTTTCCAGCGTCTGATCAGTTAAGACCACTATCTGATCGCAATCAAAATAGGGCCTCAGCTTCCGAGCAGCTACCACTACTGCAAAAGCAACTTTCTCGAGTAGAGGGTAGCGAGTCTCGGCATCCGTCAGAGTGTGGATGACGAAGTAGATCGGTTGCTGAATTTTGTTTTCTTCCTTCAGCAGCACTGCACTGATGGTGGCTGGGTTAACAGCCACATACAAATTCAAGGTTTCTCCCTCTGCTGGGCTAGCCAGCGTTGGGAGTTGAGCAAGATGCTCCCGAAGCTGCTTGAAGGCTTCTTTTTGCTCTTCTTCCCAAACGAGCTCTTTTATTTTCGAGAGTTTCAGGGCTTTGAAGAAAGGTAACCCCTTATCCGAAGCTCTGGAAATGAACCTCGAGAGGGCTGCCATTATTCCTGTGAACCGCTGAACATCCCGCTTTGTTCTCGGCTCAGGAAGATCAAGCGCTGCTTTGACTTTGGAGGGATTGGCATCAATCCCCCTCTTGCTAACCATGAACCCAAGGAATTTCCCTGACTTCACGCCGAAGACACACTTCTTCGGATTCAGCTTCATTTAGTGCTTTCTTAAGGTGGCGAAGGTTTCAGCCAGGTCCTTAACATGGTCCTCAGATTTTTTGCTTTTGACGATTGAATCGTCAACATAGACTTCCATGTTTCGGCCTTTTTGATCGGCAAAAACTTGATCCACCAGCCTTTGATAGGTTGCCCCCGCATTTTTCAATCCGAAGGGCATCATTTTATAATTGTACACCCCGACGTTCGTGACGAATGTCGTCTTTGCTCGATCATTATGGTGCATGAAGATCTGATGATATCCCAAGAATGCGTCCATGAAACTAAGCAAGGCATGGCCACTCGTCGAGTCGACTAGCTGATCGATCCTCGACAAGGGATATAAATCCTTCGTACAAGCGTTATTTAGGTCCGTGAAGTCAACACACATTCTCCAGGTACCATTGGCCTTCTGAACCATCACCACATTTGCCAGCCATTCTGGATATTGACAAGGCTCGATGAAGCCTGCCTCCAGCAACTTTTTGACCTCGGCTGCGATGTCTCGGTTCTTATTTGCGGAGTAATTCCGCTTCTTTTGCTTAATTGGCCGACACGTTGGGTCAACGTTAAGCTTATGGGAGATGAGGTTTGGACTTATCCCGGGCAAATCAGCTGTCGAGAAAGCAAACACATCTCTGTTGTCCCGAAGGAGTTGAATGAGTTCACAACGGGTGTTCGGATCAAGATCCATCCCGATTGTTACACATTTCTCAGCGTCTCCTTCGGCCAACTCGACCGTTTCAGTCTGCTGGTCCATGTCCATTGCTAATGGACTGGACTCTTCACAATCTGGTCTGCTGTCTATGTCAGCAGGCGTCCCAGACTTTTTGTTCTTCGGCTGGCTCTCTAAGTCTTTCGGCTCAGATGAAGAGCTAGCCTTTTCCCTTGCTGGGCTCTTTTTCTTTCTCCTCCTCATCCTTGTCGTCGTTATCTGGGCGACTAGTGGATGGCTTGAGGTAGTTGCACCTTCGGGCGTCCTTTTGGCTGCCCTGGATCCTTTCGGGGAAGCCGACGTCTGAGACGTAAATCATCAGCTGATGATAAGTTGAGACGACCCCTTGGATCTCGTGAATT